ATGGGAGCAGGGGGTACCATGTGGCCAACACAGCTCGCACATGGCCGGGTGACAGGAGTGCAGGGGAGCTAAAGCAGGTACTCGGGTGGAAGATTTAATTATTCTCCACCCGGGTCTATGGAAAAAAAAAGTCGTGGCAGCGGGGACGGGACTTACCGAGCGGCGGAGGCGGAGCTTGTTTCAGAGGCTGGACTAATACCTACTAAAGCCCCTGGTAACGGCTGCACAGGACACGGGAAGAAGTCCCTGCTTCCCCAACAACCAACTGCTCGACTTTCCCTTCCAGCCATAATGGAAAGAGGTAAGTCTGTGTGTGTGTGTGTGTCTGTGACTGCCTGCCTGCCTGTGTGTGTGTGTGTATCTGTGACTGCCTGTGTGTGTGTGTCTGTGTCTGCCTGCCTGTGTGTGTGTGTGTGTGTGTGTGCATGACTGTCTGCGTGCCTGTGTGTGTGTGACTGTCTGCCTGCCTGTGTGTGTGTGTGTGTGAGAGAGACTGTCTGTCTGTGTGACTGTTTGTGTGTCTGCCTGCCTGCGTGTGTGTGTGTGACTGCCTGTCTGTGTGTGTGTGTGTGACTGCCTGCCTGTGTGTGTGTGTGTGTGTGTGACTGTCTGTACTGTCTGTCTGTGTGACTGTCTGCCTGCGTGTGTGACTGTCTGTCTGTGACTACCTGCCTGTGTGTGTGTGTTTGCCTGCCTGTGTGTGTATGTGACTGACTGCCTGTGTGACTGCCTGTCTGTGTGTGTGTGTATGTAACTGCCTGCCTGTGTGTGTGTGTGTGACTGCCTGCCTGTGTGGGCTGTCTGCCCGTGTGTGTGTGTGTGACTCCAATTGTGTGTGTCACTGTAGCTGTGCCTTTGTGTATGTCTGTGCCTGTATGTGGGACTATCTGCCTTTAACTGAGTGTGTGTGTGCCTATCAGCGTGCATAGGTGTCTGCATGCCTGTAACTGAGTGTGTAAGCATGACTGTATGCTTTTAATGGAGTATGTGTGACTGTCTGTAACTATGGGTGATTGTGTGCCTGTGTATGACTGTCTGCCTTTAAGTGTGTGTTTGCCTCTGTGACTGTCTGCCAGTAAATGAGCATGTGTGACTGTCTGCCTGTAACTGTGTGTGTGTGTGTGACTGTCTGTCTGTAACTGAGAGTGTCTGACTGTCAGCTTGTATCTGAGCTTGTCTGACTGTCTGTCTGTGCCTGTGTGTGTGACTGTATACAGGCAAATTGGGTGAGGGGGGGAGGAGAGGGCGCCGTGAAGAATTTTCGCACAGGGCGCCTAATGGCCTAAGGCCGGCCCTGGGTGTATATTACAGGATAAGTGTGGCAGGGTGAGGAGGTGTATGTTACAGGATTAGTGTGGCAGGGTGAGGAGGTGTATGTTACAGGATTACTGTGGCAAGGTGAGGAGGTGTATGTTACAGGATTAGTGTGGTAGGGTGAGGAGGTGTATGTTGCAGGATTAGTGTGGCAGGGTGAGGAGGTGTATGTTACAGGATTAGTGTGACAAGGTGTATGTTACAGGATTAGTGTGGCAGGATGAGAGGGGTGATGAGTGTGAAAAGGTCAGGGTGAGTGTGACAGGGCTTGGGGGGAGAGTGATAGAGAGGTGAGTGATTGTGACAGGGTAAGGGGTGGTGAGTGCGGCATGGTTGGGGGGGTCAGTGACTGTGACAGGAAGACAATATATGGGAATTTGTTATGTGTGCGGAGAGGGACACACATAAAGATACATTAAATGACACATGTAAAACGATGTGCTCAAGTATACAGTGATAGAATAACTTGTGATAAGTCTAAGGAAAAAATATAGAAGATAAGGTTGTTTTATAGTTAAAAGAAACATATAAAAAAAATGAACTCCCCTATTTTACTTTCGTGGTGGTCTAAATGGCCAATCTTATCCATACTGACCAGCATGGGCTCTTGGGAAAGATGTTGAGATGGCTAGTCCAGCTCTTTCAGCCTACTAATGATGTCCAGGTAAAATTGGCACTGATGATGCAGAAGTGTTAATTCTAAGCGGTTTGGTTCCCAAAGTCTCTAAGTAAAAAAAAAAACCACTAGACCAAGATATAGTAGTTACAGGTATGTTGCTTAGAGAGTCCCTTTAAGCAGCAGATTGAACTCCATTATATTTCCTCTCAGAAGGATATTGGGGTGTTTTGGTCCATTAGGGACAGAAGAATGGGCAGCAATAGAAAAGGTAGTTAGTCGTTAATCTGATTGTTGGACAGTATAACAGAGGTAATGCTTATCCACGCTACATCGGTTTTAGTGACTCCTGTGGAACACGTAAGGGAGCAGCGTTTTGGGCTATGGCAATTGATTATTTGGTGGAATCCCACAAAACCCCAAAACAATGATTATCCCCTCCAAAACAGTAAAAGATTACTTTTCAAAATTTTGTTAATCCCATCATCTGACCTTGAAGTGAACCTGTCATGACAAATTTAAACTAACAGATAACCCCTTAAGCAAATACATCATCTATCAGAGTGAAACAAAAATGTGTGGAATAATCAAGATTTACACCATGTCATCTTTTACAGTTACTGAGACAAAGTAAATGTAAAGTCAAACTGCTGTCTCAGCCATTTCATAGACAATACTGACATTGTGGTGGAACATAGCCCAGGGGAAATACTGCAATAAAGAGACGTTTTAATGCATATTTCGCTAAGGCATTAAAATGGGTGGTCAATTCTCTTTGAGGTAAGTGTATCTAGGACTTAAATGTCAGTCATACAAGCCGTTGATAGCATTATTAAAGCTGTATTCCTGGCACCATAGCTCCCTCTGCCCCCCACTCCTCCCCCCGTGCCTGATCCTAGCAACCCTCGGCGCTGGGTCGCAGCTTTTCCTCCTCTAAGTCACTTGATGAGCGGGCGCCAATGCACATGTGCAGCGAGTGCCGCATGTGCACTCGGCCTCACTATAGGAAAGTATCGAATCAATGCTTTCGTATAGGGAAGTAGCTGATGCTGGATTTCCTCATGCAGAGCGTGAGGACGTCCAGCGTCAGTTGCCGGACCAAGAGTTGGTTAACATCCAGCAAGCTCCCCTGGTAGCTCTCTGGTAGACAGCCACTGGAGGCAGGCATAGTGCTGCAATGTAAACATTGCAGTTTCTATAAAGCACTAAGTGCGATAGGGGCACTGCACCCAGATCACTTCAATAAGCTGAAGTGGTCTGGGTGCCTATAGTGTCCTTTTAACTAATAGGCTTCTCTAAAGAACTGTGTTTTTGAGGCTACAATTACGTGTGTTCCGTGTTTCTTCTTTTATTGAGGGTTTTTTCTAAGAACCATGATCACTTCAGTTATTTAAAATGGTTATGGTGCCTGTAGTCTGTATGGGTAGCGTTTTACTTTGAAATACTACACATACGGAGTTTAACCCTTTGCTGCAAGAGGTGTAACCTCACCTCCGGCAGTGTCATTGTGGTGTCATCAGCCACCCTGGAACTAAAGTTTGGGGCCAGCTATATTTAATTCAGTATAAATTTATTTGCACTAAATTGCATTCATTGGCTGAGAGCGGTCAGTCGGCGTTTTCATCCAATTAATGTCGGAGGCCGCTGCTTCTGACTTTTGCAACTGCGTAGATGCAGGAAGTGTATTACCAGAAGATCAGAGAGCCTCAGAGCCAGCTGTACATGTCATCTATTATGCCACAGAACTTACAATTGAACTCCCAGAATCCCTTTCTGTGGCAATAAAGCAACATGTGAAATAAGCTCAGTAGTCAGAACGTTAAATATCACAATTCTTGAGAGTTATTACAGAAATCCAACACCCAGGGAATTTGCAGCAAATACAGGAACTTCAAATGTGAGTATCTTTTTTATTTTTATTTATTTATTGGGGAAATGTACTGGGTTTTTTGCATGATTTTTAATGCATTACAGTATAAATTTAATGGACAAAAAAAAAATACTGTGTCAACTCATCTCCATCCTGAAGTGTCCTTTTTAAGCATGTTACTGTATCACATTAATTTATTACAACATTTACCACAAGAGGTCGCTGTAGCTCTTAAATTGTGAGTTTTGAAACGCCACCTGGCAACCATATTGCAGTTCAACTAAAGTCAGCCATTAAAAAATAGAGTAGAGAAATATCTCATTGGAATTGTGAGTTACAAATCAATGAATCTAACACAGAACACTTTGAGTGTCAAACTTGAATGTTGTGCTTTTGCAGAATTCTGAACACTGTAATGACAATACCAAAAAAGATAAAAAGTAGGTCTCTCTTAAAATTTTTTAATAATAATAATAATAATAAAAAAAAAAAAATATATATATATATATATATATATACACACACACACACATATAAATAGAGAATGTGAAAAGAGGTATATATAGATTGTCAGCTAGAGGTTAGTGGCACGTATGTGAAGAAGAAAGGTTGATTAATGTCTTCTATATTTTAAGATTGCATTGCTAGAGTCAGCATATCCTTTAATATCATGTATTTAGAGTGCAACTGCACACGCTTACTTTAACTCTAGCGTTTAAAAAAAATTAAAAGGTGAAGGGACTACTTGGAGAGAAAAAAAATAATTATTATAAAATAGCATGACTGGGCAGTTGCTGCTTTAAGAGAGGCACTACAAGGGGTGTATTCTAGCTGAGCCCTTCCTATCTGTTTTACATCAGTCATGCCCACTGCCCCTGTGGCAACTTAACTCTTTTGCTGCCAGGAAAATCTGAAAAGCTTTGCATAGTGATGTGTTTAGGGGCCCCCTGGTAATGAAGGAGTTATGAGTTATGCTCCCACTTCCTTTTCTCTAAGACACCTTTAAAAAAAAAACTAAAAAAAAAAATAACTAAGAGAAGCCTGGCTACTGTAGGGGAGTGTCCCTTTAAACACAGCCCACTTTAATTATGTGAGGTCAACAAGACTTTCTTTTCTTTCTTTTTTTTTTTAAGCAAGAAGCTGCCAAACGAAAAAAAAAAAATCACTCAGTACATTGAATCCTTTTTTAACAAAAGTCCTTGCAAAGAACAGATGGTAGAAGACACAGAGATCAGTGGACTGAATGCCGGTATACCATTTTTAATTCATTCACAGAAGCCCACTCTCCGCAGTCAGGTGCCATCACACTTCAAGTCTTTGAAAGGAACAGGTACGTTAGCATCGTCATTTTTGGCACTTATTTTTACATTGGGATTTGGAGGGGAAGCAGGAATGGTTTACCGGATCCCTGTTAAGCAAAACCAGATCATTTCTCCCATTGGTGCCTATAAACCCTGTGTCTTAACTGTTCGCCTCCTTAAAACTTATTCATACTGTCTAGTATAACACACACAACATCTTCTTAAAATCATTTCTGTTGCTCAATGCCACCCCTCACAGTAGCGCCTACTATAACTACTTATAACCTGTATAATTTCATTTACTGCAAGATTACCTCTCTCTATAACCCTTCTTGCCACTCCATATTTTTGACTTATCCTTTAACGCTTCCTTTTGTTCCTCCCGATGCCTTATATTTCCCCTAATTAATGTCACTCATATTATACCATAAAACCCATTATTTAACTGCTCAAAATTTCGCCATTCAATTTTTGTCAGTAACTATAAAAATTTATATAGCTGTACGTAACCCCTTCTATTTAGTAGTTACGTGATAAAAAAACATCGTAATAATTCATCTTATGTCATTGTGTGCTGTAACATCTTTCTGCTTCTATAGCTCTATATAACCATCATCAATATCTCCCACAACACCACATAACTTCTTTGTTGCTCTAATGAGTGCATCCTAATAGAATCTTGCAAGTTACGTGTAAAAAGTCTCATATAGTCTGCATTTTGTCTATTCGTAAACCTCCCTATGCTCTGTCTATGTGGTTAACTTTTTCTTATCTTCTTACTGTAACGTTCTTTATTTGAAAATAGTGTTCAGTAAACCAATTCAGTAGCATTTTGTTAAACCATCTACTTTTGCCTTGTGTGTAACATTCTCTTATGTTATCTACTATTGCTATGGCTAAAGAAATTGTCTGCAACACATATTCATTTGCCTCCCAGCCTGCTGCTCTAATATCTCCCAAGAATCACCCCTCTAGCATGCTTAGCATGTATCTCTCCATGTCTTCTCATCTGACAGATTCCATTCTTACTTTCAAGTTGACTTCAGCCCCTAATTAGTTTTGAAGAAACTTGACAATATATAAAAGGAGGTGGATCTTACAATTAGGAGAGAGACGACTAATTACAAGCAGTAAAACACAAAGTTAACTTTGAAAACTCTTAAAAGAGTTAAATGTAATTATTATTTGCATTTTCGTAGTTTATATATATTAATACTTACAAAATCACATCAAGTCTTGAACTTAGTATCTTATGTCTTGCTTGTAAAGAATTACACCTGGTGTATACTTAGAGTAAGGACATGACTGTGTTGTGGGTTAGAATTTTAGTACAGTGTGTTAATAGACACATGTGCTTGGTTAGTACAATGTGTTGTATATGCTGTGAGGATATCCAGTTTATATATCCAGTATTCTACATGCAGTGAGGATACCTATAATGTTGCATTTATATAAAAATTTGCACTTATATAAAAATGTGTGTTATGTGTCTAGAGTGATGAGTTATAACAGTGAATTATGCAGGCTGAATTCTGGGTTAGTTATGTTATGTTGAATGCTAATTTAGTGCAGTGTGTTATGTATGTGGAGTTCTGCGTCAGTATATACTGTGTTATGGATGTGGAGTTCTGGGTTAATACACTGTGTTATGTATGTGGAGTTTTGCATTAGTATAATGTGTTATGTATGTGGAGTTCTGGGTTAGTACACTGTGTTACGTATGTGGAGTTCTGGGTTAGTATACTGTGGTATGTATGTGGAGTTCTGGGTTAGTATACTGTGTTATGTATGTGGAGTTCTGGGCTAGTACACTGTGTTATGTATGTGGAGTTCTGCGTTAGTATACTGTGTTATGTATGTGGAGCTTTGGGTTAGTACACTGTGTTATGTATGTGGAGTTCTGCGTCAGTATATACTGTGTTATGGATGTGGAGTTCTGCGTTAGTATACTGTGTTATGAATGTGGAGCTTTGGGTTAGTACACTGTGTTATGTATGTGGAGTTCTGGGTTAGTATACTGTGTTATGTATGTGGAGTTCTGGGTTAGTATACTGTGTTATGTATGTGGAGTTCTGGGCTAGTATACTGTGTTATGTATGTGGAGTTCTGGGTTAGTACACTGTGTTATGTATGTGGAGTTCTGGGTAAGTATACTGTGTTATGTATGTGGAGTTCTGGGTTAGTATACTGTGTTATGTATGTGGAGTTCTGGGCTAGTACACTGTGTTATGTATGTGGAGTTCTGGGTTAGTATACTGTGTTATGTATGTGGAGTTCTGGGTTAGTATACTGTGTTATGTATGTGGAGTTCTGGGTTAGTACACTGTGTTATGTATGTGGAGTTCTGGGTTAGTACACTGTGTTATGTATGTGGAGTTCTAGGTTAGTATACTGTGTTATGTATGTGGAGTTTTTGGTTAGTATACTGTGTTATGTATGTGGAGTTCTGGGTTAGTACACTGTGTTATGTATGTGGAGTTCTGGGTTAGTACACTGTGTTATGTATGTGGAGTTCTGGGTTAGTATACTGTGTTATGTATGTGGAGTTCTGGGCTAGTACACTGTGTTATGTATGTGGAGTTCTGGGTTAGTATACTGTGTTATGTATGTGGAGTTCTGGGTTAGTACACTGTGTTATGTATGTGGAGTTCTGGGTTAGTACACTGTGTTATGTATGTGGAGTTCTAGGTTAGTATACTGTGTTATGTATGTGGAGTTTTTGGTTAGTATACTGTGTTATGTATGTGGAGTTCTGGGTTAGTACACTGTGTTATGTATGTGGAGTTTTGGGTTAGTACACTGTGTTGTATATATAGACTGCTGGGTTAGTACGGTGTGCTATGTATGTAGAGTACTGGACTTGTACAGCACGCTGTGTAGAGTTAGTACAGTGTGATGTGTATGTAGAATTGCGAGATAGTACAGTGTGTTATGTATGTAAAATGCTGGGTTAGTCAGTATAGTATGTATGTAGAGTGCTGGGTTAGTACAGTGTATTATGTATGTAGAGCAAGCATGTCAAACTCACGGCCCGCGGGCCGCATGCGGCCCACAAGGACCATCTTTGCGGCCCAGCGAGCCGCGAGTACATGCCTAATGTTCCGAGCAGAGTAGGCACCTGCTCTCTCCACATTGCAGGTGATCATTTACCCGGCCGGGGGAGAAGTCTCTGGCGGCAGCGAGGGAGCTCAGTTCCTGCGCCTTCACGCGCGCTGTCTGAAGTGAAGCCGGGCACCGGAATATGACATCATATTCCGGCACCCGGCGTCACTAAACCGCATGAGGAAGCAGTGAGGAGCAGATAGAAGAACCCCAGGGAGATGCCCCACACCGACTCCAAAAGGTAAGACGCAATAAAGAAAGGAATGTGTAAGTGTGTGTGAGTGTGTGTCTGTCAGTGAGTGTGTGTGTGTGTGTCTGTCAACAAGTATGTGTGTGTGTGTTCCTGTCAGCAAGTATGTGTGTGTGTCTGTCTGTGAGTATATGTGTGTGTCTGTCAGTGTGTGTGTCTGTCTGTCTGTCTGTCAGTGAGTGTGTGTCTGTCAGCAAGTATGTGTGTGTCAGTGAGTGTGTGTGTGTGTGTGTCTGTATGTGTGTGTCTGTCTGTCTGTCTGTCTGTGAGTATGTGTGTGTGTGTGTATGTGTGTGCCTGTGTGTGTGTCTGTCAGCAAGTATGTGGGTGTCTGTCAGTGATTATGTGTGTGTGTGTGTCTGTCAGTGTGTGTCTGTATGTGTGTCTGTCAGTGAGTATGTGTGTGTGTGTCTTTCTATGTGTGTCTGTCAGTGAGTATGTGTGTGTCTGTGTCTTTCTATGTGTGTGTGTGTCGGTGTGTGAGTACGTGTGTGTGTCTGTCAGTGAGTATGTGTGTGTCTTTCTATGTGTGTCTGTCAGTGAGTATGTGTGTGTATGTCTTTCTATGTGTGTGTGTGTCAGTGTGTGAGTATGTGTGTGTGTCTGTCAGTGAGTATGTGTGTGTCTTTCTATGTGTGTCTGTCAGTGAGTATGTGTGTGTATGTCTTTCTATGTGTGTGTGTGTCAGTGTGTGAGTATGTGTGTGTGTCTGTCAGTGAGTATGTGTGTGTCTTTCTATGTGTGTCAGTGTGTGAGTATGTGTGTGTGTGTGTGTCTGTCAGTGAGTATGTGTGTGTCTGTATGTGTGTTTCTGTCTCTCAGTGAATATGTGTGTGTCAGCCAGAGGATCAGATTTGGCACAGGGTGGTAGAAGGGCGTGCTGTAGTTTAGTAGAGGGGGAGATTGGGATTTAGTAGAGGGGGATGCTGTGGTTTTTTTATACTGTACTTTTTTTTTTGCGGCCGACATAAACTGAAAGCTTGTTTATGTGGCCCGTACCAGACTTTGAGTTTGACATGCTTGATGTAAAGTGTTGAGTTAGTACAGTTTTTTATGTATGTAGAGTGATAGGTTAGTACAATGTATTATGTATGTAGAGTGCTGGGTTAGTACAGTGTATTATGTATGTAGAGTGCTTGGTTAGTATGGTGTATTATGTACGTAGAGTGCTGGGTTAGTACAATGTATTATGTATGTAGAATGTTGGGTTAGTATGGTGTAATATGTATGAAGCGTGCTGGGTTAGTATGGTGTATTATGTACGTAGAGTGCTGGGTTAATACAGTGTATTATATATGTAGAGTGCTGGGTTAGTATGGTGTAATATGTATGTAGCGTGCTGGGTTAGTACAGTGTATTATGTATGTAGAGTGCTGGGTTAGTACAATGTATTATGTATGTAGAATGCTGGGTTAGTACAGTGTATTATGTATGTAGAATGCTGGGTTAGTACAGTGTATTATGTATGTAGAGTGCTGGGTTAGTACAGTGTATTATGTATGTAGAGTGCTGGGTTAGTACAGTGTATTATGTATGTAGAGTGCTTGGTTAGTACAGTATATTATGTATGTAGAGGGCTAGGTTAGTATGGTGTATTATGTATATAGAGTATTGGGTTAATACAGTGTGTTATGTATAAAGAGTACTGGGTAAATACAGTGTAATATGTATGTAGAGTGCTAGGTTAGCACAATGTATTATGTATGTAGAGTGCTGGGTTAGTATGGTGTATTATGTATGTAGAGTGCTGGGTTAGTACAATGTATTATGTATGTAGAGTGCTAGGTTAGTATAGTGTATTATGTATATAGAGTGCTGGGTTAGTACAGTTGTGATGAAAACACCTTCGTCACTGGGTTTTGGAGAGGCCTGCTTGCCAGCCTCTTGCCCTGTGACTATGGCCCCTGGGATGTATTGCCTTTAAAAACACTATTTGTGCTCTTTCAAAATATGGAGGTAGCACTTAGAATTTCCGGTACTTTCTGGAACTTCGAACCGTCGAACTGTCGGACCACCTGCAAGTAGAGTGAGACTTGTTAACCTCCCAGGACTTGTGGTTAACAATCGCTTAATTGATGAACGGCTGGGTGGTCGCCGTTCGTATAGTCGAACACGTGGCGGCGGCCATCTTGTTTAGTCAAACGTGGTCAGTGGTGTTTTGCCGTCGAGTACATGGAACTAAAATCGGACACCCGACAGCACGAACACCGCTGGGACTTCCACCTCCATATATGTTCGACTAAATATGCACGAACAGAGCATCGTTCGGTAGAAATAATCTACCGAACCAGATACACTCACTGACTCTGTGCACGAACGGCTCCGTTCGACTATTGGAACTTTATTTCGACACTTTGGAATAGACCGGTCACACAGCCTGATTCTCTGTAACTATTTTGGGCATGAAGCCATGCTTGCAGCCGGTCAAAAAGAGACTTCCATGAAGCTTTTGAACCCCTGCTCTGATCTGGGTGATTTTTGGATATGTTGTTTGTGACGAGACCAATCTCGCCACATTGCATTGGAGAAGCCTGGTTGCCCGCCTGCTGCCTTTGGACTATGGCCCCGTGTTAAAAGACATCTTTTTTACCTGCAGAAAATATTTATTCGTTCTTTTCTGCCTGGTGTTCGGTAGATTCAATCTACCGAACAACCGCACGAATGACTGGACCACCTGGGAGCTGGAGTGTGCCGGCAATTAGCCTCCCTGAAGCTGCGGTTAACCGCAGCTTAATTGACGAATGCTGGGTGGCCGCCATTCGTATCACGAACACGAGGTCGCCGCCATTTTAAACATGCGAATGCACAGCGGTGTTCGACGCTTAATTCATGGAACTGAAATCGGACACAGTTTTGCGCGAACACCGCTGAAGCCGCCGACCTCCCTTCTTGTTCGCTGAAAGTGCACGAACGGCCCGGTGTTCGGTAGTTTTGCTTGAATGTGTTATACCCCAGATAGAAATCCCATGGAGCCCATTCGCATGAAACTGACTGTGTAAAGACTTTAGCTCCATGGCGATTAAACTGTATTCGTGTGGTCTGAGCGCCATTCGCTTAATAATGTGCGCTCAGACCTGAGCTATCTGGGGATATGTTAAATGTATGCTTTTAATGTTATGTGTCTCACATAGTGTATTTTAATAGTAATTTGTGTGTTAGTATCCCCACGTGCATAATGGCGATTTGCCTTTGTCTTTGGAGATAATTGAATTACTTCTCAATTATCTCCAAGGCAGAGGGGAGGAAGCCAGGATGCATTGTGGGAATACAATGTGACTGTGTGTCCTGTTTGGCTGATTGTCTGTCTTTTGTCACAGTCTCCCATTTGGTCCCCTAGGGGAGTGTCCACCAGGTGGGAGACCTGCATAAATACTGGGCAGGTAGCCCTCATTAAACAGACCACTGCTTGACCCTCAACACGGAGCTTTGTCTCGTCTTTGGGGGATTTACTGAACGCTGATAGAGACTGATTGCTAGGAGTGTAAGCCGCTTGGATGCTTTTCCTATTCGTCTGCTAGCAGCTATTCGAATGGTTCCTGTTCGTGTGTTTGGAGTGCTATATTGGATGCAGTTCGGGAGTTTGGAGCATTCACTTATTGGCGGTTCGTGTGTTTGGTGTTCTACAATAGCTGTGCCTGCATCTCTGGAAAGGGGGGCGATCGCCTAAACGGTTTTTACCCCTTGTGTGCTAAAACGGTCCGTTACATTGTTCACCCAGATCAGGGCTATCAGGGGGTATGTTGTTTATTGGGGTACTTATGAGACTTTGTAAAATATGTGTTTTTTATGCTTGCGGATAAGTACGTTAATACATTATCTTCCTTAATTGTATCCCAGGCAGATGGGAGGGATTGTGTGCTGTATGTGGGAGTGTTACATTGTTTCTGTTGGTCTGTACAATTTGTGTCCTGTGCCCCATCAGGTCCAGTGAGTGTTCCTCTGGCCTGAAAAGTTGTATAAAAATCCAACCTGTACCATTAAACTCTCAGATCATCTTGCACCTTCATGAAGTTTCGGCTCATATTTGGGGGATGGGAGAACAACATACACTCTGGGGGATTGCTATAATCACTATACTCCCCTGAGTATAATCACTAGCTCTTCTAAGAGCTGTTCCTGCTACGCTCTCTGGACTACAAGGGGTCTGCCCACTGGAAGCTGGATCCTGGTCATAGGTCCAGGGTGGGTGGTCCAGGGTGGGTAGGAGACAGCGAGACCCCAACCAAGCTTTGGCGGTTCGTGGGGTTTGCAGTGGTTATGGTGTTACAGCACAGTGCTTATGGTACTTGTCAATACTAGGAAGCAGCGACTGACAGAGGTACACGGTCGGGGTGCCAGGTGGTTCTGTCACAACAGTGTATTATGTATGTAGAGTGCTGGGTTAGTATGTGTATTATCTATGTAGAGTACTGGGTTAAAACAGTGTAATATGTATGTAGAGTGCTGGGTTAGCATGATGTATTGTAGGTATAATGAAGATATTGGTTTAGTCCAGTGTGTTTTACATGCATTGAGGCACCTGGTGTCTAGAATTTGTTGATACGATTCTGAATCAGTATGTATATGTAGGGTGATATCGTGGTTATGATGCCAGGAGTGTCCTGGTGCCAATAGAACATGCTGTAGTGGTTATGGTGCCAGGAGTGTGCCTTTTTATCTGGGGACTGCTGTGAGCCGCTTCCTGCCTCCACTACAGCCTGCAGGAAGGTGTTTATTTGAGCTCAGAAACCATATGGTGCTCTGAAAACCATTACTGTGAATTGGAGATTGACGTATGCAGTCATTATAAAATGGCTTTAATTTATGTTTACTACATACACTGCCTGGCCAAAAAAAAAAGTCGCCACCAAAAAGAAAGGTCACACACTCTAATATTTCGTTGTATCGCCTTTAGCTTTGATTACGGCACACATTCGCTGTGGCATTGTTTCAATAAGCTGCAATGTCACAAGATTTATTTTTGTCCAGTGTTGCATTAATTTTTCACCAAGATCTTGTATTGATGATGGGAGAGTCGGACCACTGCTCAAAGACTTCTCCAGCACATCCCAAAGATTCTCAATGAAGTTAAAGTCTGGACTCTGTGGTGGCCAATCCATGTGTGAAAATGATGTCTAATGCTCCCTGAATCCCTCTTTCACAATTTGAGCCAGATAAATCAAGGCATTGTCATTTTGGAATATGCCCGTGCCATCAGGGAAGTAAAATCCATTAATGGAATAACCTGGTCATTCAGTATATTCAGGTAGTAAGCTGAACTCATTCTTTGGGCACATAATGTTGCTGAACCTAGAGCACACCAACTGCAGCAACCCCAGATCATAGCACTGGCCTCATAGGCTTGTACAGTAGGCACTAGGCATGATGGGTGCATCACTTCATCTGCCTCTATTCTTACCCTGATGCATCCATCACTCTGGAACAGGGTAAATCCCCACTATCATTTCAGTTTTTAATATTGCGTTGTTCTTAACCCAATTTTAGTAGTTTCTGCAATCTTCTTAGATGTTTTTTCTGCTTGATGCATGTCAATGATTTGACCCTTCTCAAACAGACTAACATCTTTTCCACGACCACGAGATGTGTCTTTCGACATGGTTGTTTAAGAAATGAGAAGCTACTCATTGCATCAGTTGGCGTTAAATAACTTATTGCCAGCTGAAAGGTAATCGCCCATGCAGTAACTATCCAATAGGAGGCTCTTACCTATTTGCTTAGTTAAATCCAGGTGGCGACTTTTTTTTTGGACAGGCAGTGTATTTTGAATGGTGATTATAGTCATGAAAACCACATTGGTGCCTTATAAAATTGTTCAGATTTTTTACTTACTTTATATTATTATTATAATTATTATTACTATTATATAACTTTCTAGATCAGGGGTTCCCAACTCAGTCCTCAAATACCCCATACATGTCCAGCATTTAGGGATTACCCTGTTGTGTCTAAAGCAGGCTTCCTCAAACTCTGGCCCTCCAGATGTTCCTGAACTACAAATCTATGAATGAAATAGATAGGCTGAGAATCATGGGAGTTGTAGTTCAGCAACATCTGGAGGGCCGGAGTTTGGGGAAGCCTGGTCTAAAGTGTGTTTTTTGTTTTTTTTTTCTAAAAACACCTTAGACACAACTGGGTGATCCCCAAATCCTGGACTGTTAGCGGGTACCTGAGGACTGGGTTGTGAACCACGGTTCTAGATTGAAAGCTGTAACTGTTGTTTCTATGTACCTCGGTATATCAGAGTTACTGCTGTGTGGGGGCTTTGGGGAATGAAGCACCTTTAAATGGGGTTCCCTTTATCCCTTAGGTAATGAGGGGCAGCAAGATAGTTTTTTTTTTTTTTTTAACCAGCCGCATGATATTAACAGATCACTAGTAAAATGCTCTCCTATGCTACTAAGGGGGAGGGATGGTCCATTCCATATGACAGCCAGGTGGGGAGAGGTAAAGTTGTGCAGAGAGGCTGTAGCACTAGATGTACTAGTGTGGTTAAGCAGGATTGCATTGAATACCTGGTAATTCTGCATTCTCTGGCTATTTTTTTAATTGGCATCCTGGTCATAGAATTGGCAAGGCTTACATTGAGAGGTTGGTGATATGGAATTATTTTTGGCTCAATTTCCAGATGATTCGGAAAGCTAGCAACCACTCTTAAATCCATAGAGATCAATATGCGGTTCAACAAATTTACTAAGCTAGTTCTACAAAGACCCTGCATTGACCTGTTGAAGGAACTTTGTGAACTACTATCTGTGTCATGGTGGAATGAGTCAATCCAGTTCCTCTGCAGCCACTTGGCAGTTTTGCACCCATATTATCCCACCAAAGTCAAGTTGTGGACAGTTTAGATGGGCTAGAAATGAAGGGAAAACACACTAAATGCTCATAGCACCAAAACAACTGCAATGAGCTGTAGAGGTTAAGGTGATTAAAGTGCCCCTTTAAAGTGGCCTTGTCACCTGACTATAAATGTTGAGTATTAGTTGTCGTTTAAGAATTACCCACATTGACTGTCAAAGGTTTGTCTTATCCTATAGACTGTAAGCTCGTTTGAGCAGGGTCCTCTTCAACCTATCGTTCCTGTAAGTTTTCTTGTAATTGTCCAATTTATAGTTAAATCCCCCCTCTCATAATATTGTAAAGCACTACGGAATATGTTGGTGCTATATAAATGATAATAATATGGTAAACCTGACATCAAGTTTTGTCTATTCCTCCCCCCCTGCCCCCCTAGTGACAATTAGGCATCAGGTTTCTTTTATCAGATTTTGAAACTTAGTATGTGTGGGGTCCAGCAGTCTTGCGGTTTTTCAGCCAGGTACGTTGCTAGATTTATAAAATAACTGGGGCTTGACACAAGAAAACATTTGGTGAACCCTGCTTAAAGCCCCATATATGGTCCTTCACAAACTCCAACCCCTAATAACTGCAATATATGACTCAAGTTACTCTTGGATACATACATTAAGACACACACTCACAGCTAGACATTTACAGACACACACATTAAGACATACAGATGAATACATAAATACAAAGATACACAGGCTACACACGGAAAAAATCACACACCCAAAACAGGCATTCATAGACACAGGTACACATAGACACTCACATGCAGGCATACATAGACAAAGGTACACATAGACATGCATGTGCAGGCATACATAGACACAGATAAACACAAACACGTGTATATAGGCATACACAGACAGGCACAAACAGGCATACACAGATATAAGCATACAAAGACGGGAGCATGCAGCCATACACAGGCACAGGCACATACATACAGCCAAACACACCAAGCACACTAAAAAATTCAGTCTACCTGGTTGTGCTCTGCTCAGCAGTGGAAGGTGGACAGCAGCCATGTAACTCTTGCAGAGCCAACCCTGCACTTCCAGGCACTAAACCCATGTGGTATTGCCCCCATGTTGCTCTGCCTCCTTGTTCTGTCGTGACCGGGAGTGGAAACAGCACACTGATAAAGATGCTGGAACATGATTAGGGTATAACATTTCCCACATTTTATCTGAACTGCATTGACCAGCATGGAGGAAGGTGTTGCAGCTTGGGCATGCTGGATTTACAATTTGTAGCCCCGAGTTCTATGCCTGGCCCAGGGGACTATGGGTAATAATAAATTGCAATATTAACAGCAGGGGCTTTTCAGGGTCCACTTGTGACGTTAGCCTGCACTGCCGATGCCACTGAGCACCACACTGATGCATCTCATGTGGGTGAAAAGGGCAAGGTGCCAAAGAGAGAAAATGATGGCTTCCTGAGGGGACAGCTTCAGGTAAGTACTTCTACCTTCCTCTACTTCACTGGGCTCAGATTGGGATGCATATGTAGAATTTCATCTATTTGTCTAAGTTGAAAATATACTAAAGTCCATCAAGTTCAGCACCAAAACTCATTCTTTAATGCTGTTGATCCAAAAGAATGCAAAAAAAACCCCAACAATTGTAACCATTTTCAATAATGCCACAAAAAAGGAAAACAATCCATCATGACTACATTATGGCAATCAGATTTCTCATTGGATCAACAACCTGTTTACATACATATCAATTAGATCCTTGAATATTCTGTTTATACAAAAAAAATCCAAGCCGTTCTCTTTAAATTTCTATAGAATCTCATAAGACAACCTCTATAGACAAAGAATTCCACATCTTTATTGTTCTTACTTTAAATAACCCTTTCCTTTGCTGCAAGCAAAAACGCCTTTCTTCCAGGCTCAATGAGTGACCTCTTGTCTGTTGTATATCCCTGCTAATGAACAGGTTAGCACAGCGGTTTGCACTAATCCTGTACATACTTGTATAGTGTTATCATATTCCCTCTGAGGCAACTTTTTTCTGAAGAAAACATGTTCAGTTTTTCTAGCCTTTCCTTAGAACTAATGTTTTCCATCCCCCTTACTAATTTTGTAGCTCGTCTCTGGCCTTTTTCTAGCTGCATCCAATGCATTTGTACAGGTAATTAGGATTTGGCCACACTTGACAAATTGACACAACCCTGGTACGAAAACATCAGATTTGATGTCCAAACATGACTGCAAGCAGTCCTCCAGCTTTAGTCATGCTGAATTGCAGATAAACTCTTTGAGATTGCCAAATTGACCAAGGGAGTCCGTAACAATGTGGCAGTGCTGAAATAGTTTATAGTGGTGTTGGACAAGCGAATCCAGCTTGCGGGTTGTCATATTTTGGCCAGACAATAAGGAAGTGATTCTATCTCATTAATAGCAGAGGTGGTTGACTTTGTAGCCAGAGAGACCTCTGATTTTTGTCAGACCGCTAAAAACAAGTTTCATAAAAACCAAGAAGGACAGAATCCATTGCTTCATTGCACCATAATCACTATGAAAAGCAGCAGGTCCGGTGCTTCCTTTAGGTAAACTAGACAGTGGCCTAGGGCGCTCTGTCAGAGTGGGCGCCCACAGGGGCAGTAAGCCCTCAGAATCCCTCATGAGATTAAGCTGGCAGTGTATACTCACGGACAACATAGAGACCCCGCTTCCTCCTGTGATAGAGCTGGCGGCGCCCTCCCCTCACTGCTTCAGTCCTCCTCCTTGTATTTCGGGTAGTTAAAATTATTTCAGCAGATTATAGGAGTTACGAGTGTAAGCCCGCCTATCCCCACCCACATACAATTAACCCCACCCTCCTACAACTAACCCCTCCCCAAACATTCCAACTGTGTGTGTGTGTGTGTGCATTAGGCAGTGCCTGTGTGTGTGTGTGTGTGTGTGTGTGTGTGTGTGTGTGTGTGTGTGTGTATTAGTGTGTGTGTGCAGTGTCTGTGTGTGTGTGTGTGTGTGTGTGTGTGTGTGTGTGTGTGTGTATGTGTGTGTGTGTCAGGCAGTGTCTGTGTGTGTGTGTGTGTGTGTGTTTGTATCAGGCAGTGTGTGTGTGTGTGTGTATGTATTAGGCAGTGTGTGTATGTGTGTATTAGGCAGTGCTTGTGTTTCTATTAGGGTGTGTGTGTGTGTGTGTGTGTGTATAAGGCAGTTTTTTGTGGGTCTGTGTATGTATAAGGCAGTTTGCTATGAGAGAGGAATACCCTACACACAAAGTATTTCAGCTTGCTGAAGTGATTTATATGTCTGGAGTTTGTCATTTTCAGTTTATAAAAGGGCTGATTTGAATAGAAATCAGACCTTTTATAATTAGGGTAAAAAAAACACCTCCATGTCTGCCACACAGCTAGTAAGGTTTTCTTCCACTTCCTTTAGCTCAAAAGAGCAAACAGAAGAGGCAGACGTGCTGTACCAGCGATCGCCTGCCTTCTCCCTTTCGCTAGAGCTCTTTGGGAAACATAGGAAACTGTGATTGAATGTGCATATGCACAACTGTGGCCCCACAACAGAGGCTTCTCAATGAGAAGCCTCTCATTGGAGGGCTTGCAGAAAAATAAAGCATATTTTCTTTGGGAGTATATCTGCTAAATTGTTAAAGGAAATAAGTGGAATGTTTCCTTTTGGAGTTTAGTGCATAAACTTATGGCACGATGGAACGATCTGATGAGGGGGCAGCAAAATGGATCTTTGTCTAGGACGGCAGAATTCCTTGCACCGGCCCTGATAAGCAGTACTAGTAATGGTGCTCTGATTTTCTCTTTATGTGAACATAATAAATTATTTGAGTGATTGAACAATTTGGAGGAATTATTCCCAGATTGTTACATTGTGTTCCAGCCAAAGAGATTTGATGGGGATGAATTAACGCACCATGACGTACTGGACAAAAAACCTGTTTTTGTATCAAAACAAATTCGTTTTGTTTTTAGTGGGAGATCACAACATTTTTCAAACTGTAACTAATGAGGCTATAACTAATTTCATCACACTCTCTCTGTCACTACAATTGTGTAATTGTAGCATAGCTGCTCCAAGTGATAAAAGCTGCTCTAAGACCAGCTGTTATGTATGAATATGAATTATGAGGCCATAGAAGATCAGTGCGCGTGTCAAGAAGCAGGAGATATTTCTGTTGTTGACAGGGCCAGATGTCTGTATTAGCAATGTGGGCAGAATATAGAATGTCTAACATAGAGTCTTGCTCTGCAAGCGAGTAGTTCTAAAGGTCAAAATATATAATCATTTACAGCAAATTTCTTCCACTTTGAGGGTTTGCAATTACTCACAGTTCTTCTGATCTTCAAATCATCTTTAAGTTTATTATTTAGGCATGTATTAAAGGGACACTACGATGCCCAAATACAAAATAAATAAATAAGCACTGATTAGTAGATACAGTGCCCTCCACTGATACCCTTGGTAAATTTGAGCAAAGAGAGTTGCGAGAAATTCTCTTTATTGTTTAACGTTTTGATATTTTCTGAAATATATGTGTAGCATAATCATTAACATCCCTATTTTATTTGAGTATAAATATAACATATATATATATATATATATATATATATAAATGCACATGGATCCAGCACTCACTCTCCCGGTCTTGTCCTTGCCTGGATGCAATCAAGGAAGGTGCACTCACAGGACTTTGTAGATAAATCTTGAAGTTTTATTGTGCAATTATGCACCAAAAAATGTGTCGACGTTTCAGTCCTCTATGGGACTTTTCTCAAGACATATATATGTATCATAAAGTCCAAATTCCCTTATTCAACATAATGGGTAAGACCAATAAATATAGCTGTGATGTGCGGCAAAAGGTTGTTATGCTTCACAAAATGGGAGGTGGCTAAAAAAAGCATTCAAAAGCATTCAAAATGCCAATTTCCACCATCAGGGCAATAATTAAAAAGTTCCAATCAACTGGAAATGTTATGAATCAACCAGGAAGAGGATATGTGTCTATATTGTCTCAACGCATTGTGAAGAGAATGGTTTGAGTGGCCAATATAGCTCCAAGGCTCACAGCTGGAGAATTGCAGAAGTTAGTAGCTTCTTGGGGTCCGAAAGTCTCCAAAACTACAGTTCAACGTCACCTACATCACTACAAGTTGTTTAGAAGGGTTTCAAGTAGGGATGTGCCTGGGGAATAATTTCGGTTCGGTTCGGCATTCCAAAATTCGGGACTTCGGCATTTCGGGACTTCGGCCATTCGGATTGGCTCGGCTCGGCACTTCAACACTTCGGAACTTCGGAACTTCTGCACTTCGACACTTCGGAATTCCGACACTTCGGCAACTTCGGAATTCCGACACTTCGGCAACTTCGGTATTTCGGAACTTCAGCACTTCAGGACTTTTCTTGCAGCCCCTAAGTAGATAACTCCCTAATTCCCATGGTATTAGGGAGCTATCTAACAAAAGGCTGAAAGATCTAAATTGGTCTTTCAGCCAAATTTACTAATAATAGGTAACTACTTAGTATTAGTAAATTTTGCCCCTACTCGCTATACCGTGAGTAAGGGCATGTCTATTAAACAGTGAAAAACCTACAGTTCTCATACACTGCTGCCTTTGCAAGCCCTCCTCTTCTAACCCCTCCCAGACTTTCTGTGGCTGTCCGATCACAGATATTCGAATGCAGGTCAAAGAGATGTCTTTGTGAGGCAGGTGCTTTGAACAATTGCTGCCTCTTGAGTTTATCTCCACTGAGCTAACCAAATCAGGTTGTAACAGGACCTGTTGTCTGATTGACAGCAAGGGAGTTGTAATAAGGTTAATTTATAAAAGTGTCAATTTCTATTGGAATCTGTACTTTTTAGAAAAATGAAAAAATAGGAAACACTTTTCACACATAAAGATGTTCAGCAAGCACCACTTCAACTGAGGTCAGAAGTACCCTAGCTCGGTTCCATGGTAATTGTGCAAACAATTCAGTAACAGTTTGTCTCCTTACTTAATTTCCCACCAGTCTCTGGGTCTCCTCTCCTCGCTGGTGATGAGCTTTCTGGGTCCTGCAGAGTTACAGAAGACTGCAGCCATTTCAGTCACCATTCATTGGATGAACACATCAGCTGCCCGCTCTCAACCAATGAATAGCACACTGTGCAAAAGAAAAAAGAATTTGCACAGAATAGATTTTATCTTTTATGTAAATGAACGTTAATATTAAGCATTATTTGCCTGTTGACAGAGCTAACATAGTTAAAAACCCTGGAGAAAATAACAAGTTGTTTTCTTAAATTAACAAGTTGTTTCCCGAGATAAGTCATGAAAGTATTACAAATACATGGCTTCTCTGGGCTTCCTTACTTCACTGCTGCAAATTCTGACCCCGATTTATATGAAATTATTTTTCCAGGTGCAACATTCAGCATACATATGAAATAAGTAACATGTGCATATTTTCTTGTAGATTTCTACGATTGAGTCGGCATATCGGTGCATGTAGCTTCGTTCTTGAAAAGAGACACATGGTCTGTGCACAGTGATTCCACTGAATACAAGAATTTGATGGAAACTACCACTTAAAAGCTGTAAATATGCAATAAATGAGGGGAATTCCTAGGTAAGTAATTCAGAGATATTATTTTTTAAATGTTTTATGCATTATTGAGGCACGGTTAAATGTTAGATAGCATTATTGAGGCACGGCATGGTTTGTCTCTTTACATAGTTACATAGGCTGAAAAGATACATATGTCCATCAAGTTCAGCCTTCCTCACATCTGTTTTTTTTCTGTGGATCCAAAAGAAGGCACAAAAAAAACCCAGTTTGAAGCAATTCCAATTTTGCAACAAACTAGGGGAAAAATTCCTTCTTGACCCCAGAGTGGCAGTCAGATTAATCCTTGGATCAAGAAGCTATTACCCTACAGTTAAAAACTTACATAATTGAATATTATGTTTTTGCAAGTATGCATCTAGTTGGTGTTTAGACATCTGTAGACTCTGATACAACTACTTCTACAGGCAGAGAATTGCACATCCTTATTGTTCTTATGGTATATAAACCTTTCCTTTGCATTCCTTAGACTAAATCTCCTTTCTTCCAGTCTAAATGCATGACCTTGTGTCCTATGTATAGCCCTGTTTGTGAATAGATTTCCAGACAATGGATTACAAGGTTCACAGTTATTTATTAACTGTTAAGACACCTCCAGTGTCTTTAGGCAAAACCGCCGTTTAGTAAACCTTCCCCGGCTGCAGTACAGTCTCCGTTCGCTTACTCTGTAACACACGAACCAAATGCAGGGGAAGCGGCAATCTCACGATCGAAATCCACGAACGGCTCCAAACTCCCGAACGGCAATATACGAACTGCTGGTAACCGTCGAACAATAATATCCCCAAAGCGGCTTTCGTTCCATCCAGCAGTCTCTAAATGTGAAGAAGCAATCCCCCCAATAACGAGACAGAAGCTCCGCATTGAGGGTCAAACAGGATCTGATTTTACTGTGGGCTACCTGCCCGTATTTATGCAGGTCTCCCACCTGGTGGACACTCCCCTAGGGGACCAAATGGGAGACTTAAACTACAGACAGATAGAAGGACATTTCAGACACACAGTCACATATTTTACCCACAGTGCATTATGATTCCCTCCCCTCTGCCCTGGAGTTAATTACCAAGTAACTCAATTAACTCCAGGACAAGGACAGTCGCCATCTTAAACATAAAATAATAAAAGACATAAAAATACATAACTACATGAAACTGAACATTTCCCGTTAGTATTACATGTCCCCAGATAGCCTGGATCTGAGTGCATATTATTAGCGAATAGCGCTCAGATCCCACACACATAGTTCAATCGCCATGGAGTCAAAGTTCTTACAGTCTTTCGGTATACGAATGACTCCATGGGAAGGCTATCTGGGTTAAGTCTTTTGTATGCTCTCAATCTCCCGAACGGCCGGTGTTCGCATGCTTTCGTGGAGGCAGCCAGGCGTTCCCTTGTTTCAGCGGTGTTCGGCAGAAAAAGTGTCAGTTTTCAGTTCCATAGAAATAGAGCCAAACACCGCTGAGCGTTCGCATGATTTAAAATGGCCGCTGCCTCGTGGTCGACATACGAACGACGACCACCCTGAGTTCGGTTTAATTGAGAAGTGTCTGCGGTTAACCACAACGTTCTAATTGGGATCACTTTGTTAACCAGCAGCACACTCCTCACTTGGGTGGCCGTTCGTTCGGCAGATTTGTTCGGGAAAAAGAGTCATTCGAATGGCTGGGCTATAGAAACCAGCCATTCATACGAACGGGGACAAACAGACGAACGGGCAAAAATCCAGCAGACAGATGGTTCTGTCACACGGCTCCCTCCTTGTGGGACACTCCGGCAGACCCGGCTTGACCCTGTGGCGGGTCAACTTGGGGATGACCGGACTACGAGGTGATGGAAACGTCTGTTTGTCGTGATAACCCATCTGCATTTCCGTTTAGCTTACCGGGTCTGTAGCTGATGGTAAAATTATAGGGCTGTAGTGCCAAGCTCCATCTCAGCAGTCTCCCATTGTCTCCTGAGACCCGGTTAAGCCAAACGAGTGGGTTATGGTCCGTCACCAGGGAAAACTCTTGCCCATACAAATAGGGGCTTAACTTTTTCAATGCCCAGACCAAGGCCAAACACTCCTTCTCCACTGCCGCATAACTCACTTCTCTGGGTAACAACTTTCTGCTGAGATATGCGACAGGGTGCTCTCCTCCATCTTCCCCGACTTGGCTCAGCACAGCCCCCAGTCCATACATGGAAGCATCTGTATGGACGAGAAAGCGTTTGTTAGGGACTGGGGCAGCCAAGACAGGGGCATTCACAAGAGCCTGCTTCAGTGCCTGGAACGCAGCTTCACAAGCCGGAGACCACAGGACCTGCTTAGGCAAGTTCTTCTTTGTCAGGTCTGTCAGGGGCTTAGCAATAGCGCTGTAGTCAGGGACAAAACGTCTATAGTACCCTGCCGTCCCCAAGAAGGCCAATACCTGGGTCTTAGTAGTAGGTGTGGGCCAGTTAGCCACTGCCTCTACCTTGGCTGGCTCTGGTCTCTGGCTCCCACACCCCACTCTGTGACCCAGGTACTGTACTTCAGCCATACCTAGATGGCACTTTTCTGGCTTCAATGTCAGGCCAGCGGCCCGAATTTTATCCAGCACTACCCCTACATGTACCAGGTGTTCCTCCCAGGACCCACTGTAAATCGCAATGTCGTCCAAGTATGCACAGGCAAATTCTTGGAAGCCATCCAGGAGTCTATCCACCATCCGTTGGAAGGTAGCCGGTGCATTTTTCATCCCAAAAGGCATGACCTTAAATTGGTACAGGCCAAATGGGGTGACAAATGCCGACTTGGGGATAGCATCCTCGGCCAGGGGGATCTGCCAGTAGCCCTTACACAGGTCTATGGTGGTCAGATATCGCCCCCTGGCAATACGATCTAGTAATTCGTCTACCCGGGGCATTGGGTAGGCGTCAGTGGTGGTCCGCTCGTTGAGTCGCCTGTAGTCCACACAGAACCAGGTGGTCCCATCTTTCTTGGGCACCAGGACTACAGGCGAGGCCCAAGGGCTGTCGGAGTGCTCGATAACCCCAAGTTGGGTCATCTCCTGTATCTCCTTCCGCATTCCTTCACGGACTGCTTCAGGGATACGGTAGGGGGGCTGTCGTAACGGGGTCTGTCCAGGGGTCTCTACCTTATGCACAGCTAGGGTGGTATAACCTGGTTCCTGGGAGAACGTCGCCTGCTTCTCCCATAACAACTGCTGCGCCTGTACCCTTTCTGTGGGGTTCAACCGGTCCCCTAGCTGTACCAAGGTAGTAAGGTCAGTCTGGGAATCCCTTTCTAATAGATCTGGAAGGGGTAAATTCTCAGAATCATCTGCAGCTGGGGCACATACTGCTGCAATATTCTCAGGTCTCTCCTGGTACTCTTTCAGCATGTTCACATGAAAGGACCGCTGGATCCTCTCATCTGCACAGCTGGCTATCAAGTAAGTAGTGTCGCAGATCTGCGCCACTACCTTGTACGGGCCCTGCCAAGATGCCTGCATCTTGTTGGCCTTCACAGGTTTGAGCACCAATACCTTTTGCCCAACCTGGAAGACCCGCTGTCGGGCACCCTGATCGTACCATCTCTTCTGTCTCCCCTGGGCCGCCTGGAGATTCTCCCTTACCATCAGGGACAGTTTCTCCATGCGGTCCCGGAGTTCCAGAACATATGGCACAATGGGGGTCCCCTCTTGCTCCGTCTCCCCCTCCCAGTGGCCTCTAATGAGATCTAGGGGTCCGCGGACCCTTCTCCCATACAGCAACTCAAAGGGGGAGAACCCAGTAGATTCCTGGGGCACCTCTCTATAAGAAAATAATAGATGAGGCAGGAATCTCTCCCAGTCTCTGCAAGTGTCTGTAAAGGTCCTCAGCATCTGTTTGAGGGTACCGTTAAAGCGCTCGCAGAGACCGTTAGTCTGTGGGTGGTAGGGTGAGCTAAGTAACGGCTTAATGCCACACACCTTCCACAGCTGCTGGGTGAGCACAGCGGTGAATTGGGTTCCCTGGTCGGAGAGAATCTCCTTAGGGAACCCGACCCTAGTAAAAATTCTAACCAGGGCATCAGCAACCGTCTCTGCCTCTATGTTAGACAGCGCTACTGCCTCTGGATAGCGGGTGGCATAGTCCACCACGGTAAGAACATACTTCTTACCGGATGGACTAGCCCTGGCCAGTGGACCCACAATGTCAACGGCTATGCGGGCAAAGGGCTCCCCTATAATAGGCATCGATAATAGCCTAGCCTTAGGGTGGTCCCCCCGCTTTCCTACCCGTTGACATGTGTCACACGTGCTGCAGTACATCCGCACAGCCTGGTTGAAGTTTGGCCAAAAGAAATTCTGTGAGATCCTATAGGCTGTGCGGCGGGACCCTAGATGTCCAGCTAATGGAACATCATGCCCTATCCGCAGAATCTCCTGCCGGTACTTAGCAGGTACCACTAACTGGCGATTCGGCGGAGAGGCAACACTCTTCTGGGAAGGTTTAGGGATCCTATATAACCTGTCCCCCACCCACTCATACCGTTCCCCATCTACTCCTTCCTCTCCAGCATCTGCCCTGTCTTTGTATTTTTGGAGGGTCGGATCTGCCCGGGTTTCCCTCCCAAACTCCTCTGGGGAATCCCAGCTTAAGGGGACCTGATCTGGGGTACCAGTCGGGGAAGGAGATCTTACCTGGGTCTCATCAGCAGGTGGGCTGGTTCCGGCAGCACGGGTCTGGGCACGGGTGGTCACTGGGTTCACATCTGCAGGGCCCATTGGAGCATAGGCTGAAACCAAAGGGGCCAAATCGTTTCCCAGAAGAACATCTGCGGGCAAGTCCTTCATCACCCCCACATCCACATGTCTAGCGCCCACTCCCCAATCCAAGTGTACCCGGGCAACAGGTAAGCGAAACACGGCACCCCCTGCTACCCTTACTGCCACAGTGTCCCCAGTGTGTTGATGCTCTGAGACCAAGTTCTTTTGGAGCAGTGTCATCGTGGCTCCTGTGTCTCTCAGCCCATTTACCACTCTGCCATTCAGCTT